AGTTAAAATGAGTGAATTGACTGAGTGCTGTCTGTCACTGTCTTTAATCAGTTCTGTGAATGACTGTATGGTATGCCACATGCACTGTAATATGATTTATATAAAATTTTCAAATGAAAAGAGCAGCATGATCGTTTTATTATAAAGTATGCGTTCATATTTAAGGGCTAGATTTTCGCTGGAGGAAACAGCTGTGGTGTGATGAGGGGTGAACAGCGAAAACTTTACAGTAGATGGGAAACCGATTGCTCCCTCGTGACCTTTTGTAAACTGTTCTTTTATGACAAAGAACTGCACAGATACAGATATTATAACAATATATCGATAAACACACACCTTGTGTCCTCTGTTTCTGTTTGAGTCCGCTCGCGCTGCGCCGCCGCGGTCTGCGAATTGAAGAGTGCGCTGAAAGACGGGGAGGAGACGAAGTCTGCCGCCGTTTTCATATGAAATTTAAAGGGAACTGACTCTGAGGCGATCACGAATTTGTGTACAGTTTATGGAGCTAATCGCTATAGCCCCGCTAAAAATGGCCTAGCGACGTCCATGCTTCTTACGTCCATTTCAGAGACAAATATTTCAATCGATCACTCAGGCATTTAAGTGTCACCGAAATGAGGCAACGAAATCTGCGTTCTGATTCGGTTCTAGTACATACCGGTTACATAGGTACCGGTGCCATATTCGGTACCCAACCCTATTAATGAGTGCCTCATTGAATCGTTCACTCAAATTATTTTTCACAGCTCTGATTCATTCATGTAAGAAATAAGTGGCTATGGCTGAATGCAGAATGACATACCACTCTTACTATTTCTGCCGTATTACTATTTGACAAAAAGCAGTATGCAGTTCTAAATTTAACCTGTCTTTATGAGCTAGTCATTGAATAATTCACTTGAATGATTCATTCACAACACTAATTGATTCTAGAAGAAAACAAGCAACTGGCTTTATGAGTGAGTCTTTGAATCATTCACTCAAATGGTTCGTTCACACCTCTAATTAATTCATGAATGAAACAAGTGATTTTGCTGAATTCCAAACCATGTACCAGCATGCTACTCTTACTGATTCTGCCATAGAAAGATATGATACAATAGTTAGAGTAGTATTCTAATATGTGCTTCTGAATTCAGCAAATGTCTTTATAAGCAAGTCATTGAATCATTCACTAAAATGATTTGTTCACAACTCTGATTCACTGAAGAACAAAACAAGAAACTGTCTGTATGAGTGAGTCATTGAATCATTGACTCAAATAGTTTGTCCACAACACTGACCGATTCAAAAACCGAACAAGCAACTGTTTTTATGAGTGAGTCAATGAAACATTTGCGTGAATGATTCATGCACAACACTGATTCATTCAAGAAGCAGCTGTCTTTATGAGTGACTCATTGAACAATTCACTCAAATGATTTAGTTCAAATGGCTGATTCATTCAAGAATGAAACTACTGTGTGTTGCTCAGTGCAATCTTAAGGGCTTGTTCTTTTTTATTAATCCATCGACTTTCATTTATTTCATTTCCGCAAACTATGGTTTGCTACATTCTAGTCGGCTGCAGTTGGATTGGCATTCTCACTTTAGAGAGCATTTTTGCGTCTGCTAAAAAATGACCACTCTTCAAATCACCCATGTCCCCGTAGCACCCTTAACTCTCAACAGAAAACATACACGTATCATTGTTCTTCCTATACTCTGAAACATATGTGAAAATCAATGAGCTAGTGGTAAGGTTTCAGAGAGACTAGTCAGCAGCCGCTGTGCCAGATGGGTTGACTTGACGCCCGAGCTTGGATGCCAAGATCTCTGCTGATATACAAGCCTCTATGGTAAACAGGTGGCAAATTTGAGTCATTATTGCTGTCATCAGTGCAATGTAGTTCCCTCAAAGACGCTGACTGTAGCATATCACTGCCTGGCTATGGAGCAATATTTCCTCTAGGTTTAAGGGTTTCTGGGACAAGTCCATGAAAGCAAAGTCTCATGAGGAACTGACAGACACAGAATGGGTTGGAGCAAAACAAGTAAATTATGACAAGAATAATTCCTTCTACCATTGAAAAGTTTGGGGTCGGTATGTTTCACACGATCTTTCAGAAATCATTCTAATAGAAGCATTTCTTATTATTCATGTGGAAAACAGTTGTGATGCTTCATATTGTTGAGGAAAAAAAGTGTCTTTACTGTCACTTATGATCAGTTTATTGCATCCTTCATGAATATATAAAAATAAAATAAAATAAAAAAAATCTTACTGAACCCAAACTTTTGAATACAATTTCGGGAATCTCAAAGAAATGGATCCAGCTTCATAGAAGAATATCCAGGAATCTCATAGGAAAAGATTTTTGAAATATTTAAAAATAGTCTATGTCAGTGATGCTCCAAAAAGACCCTAACACATTCAGATGGTAGTTCATCTATTCCTGTAGAGTGACCTAAAGAGAGTTGCTGTACCGCTGTTGTCACCCACTGAAGCGGAAGGTGCTAGGGTGATAACTTTGACTTGACGTCTCTGTGTTAGTTTGTCAACTCATGGGCCCCTGAATGCTTGTCAACAAGCTTGTGATTCAGTCACAAATAATTATCTGCCTCTGTGCAACTTAGCAATTAAACTGTGCTATATACAACCAAAAATAAAGCTGTAGAAAAGATGGTCAAAAACTCCTCCGGTCCATAAGAACTGCATTCAGATGTGCTAAGGAAGCTCCTCCCAACATCCACTCAACAGAGACAGAGAATGATTGGAATGTAAATGTAACCATTTTCTTAATAATGACAGCCGAATGAACTCTACTTCTCAAAAGAGATTGCAATCAAGGCTCATGTACATAATGATAATGTATGCAATTTTAAATCATACATAGATACATGCTCAGACTTTTCACACTACCCACAAGGTCACCCCGTATCATGATAAGGTACTTAAAATCTGCTCCCGTAACAGATGAAAATTACAATTGAGAGATTACATGTGCGTTCTTTTGATAAGGTTTTTGACCTTCCCATTAAGTTTTAGAAAGATAGAACTATAGGTCTGCACAATTGCTAGAATAAATAATTGAGATTGGGGGTACTGTGATTAACAAATCTTGAAAAGTGGCTTTACATTGTGTTTGTTTGAATGTCCATTGTGTGCTTGAATGCAGTGTTCAATTGGAAGCATGTACTGTATATTAGCCACTGTTCTATATAAATGACTGGATTGCTTATATAATTCTAAACCGTCATTAGACGGTGAAACCACCAGAAGTGTTCAGTGCTGTTCCACACCAAGTTTTAAAGTAACATTTCAGACAGAGCTCATATTATTGCAAGAACAGTATTAGCACTGGTTTTACTTAACAATTTTTGCAGTAAATGAGACCATGATAATTTAAGCCATAATGAACTAAATTCTGTTGCATTTTGCCTGAAATATTCATTAGAAGATTCAAACCACCGAGTGGAATGAACAATACAGAGCATGGACCAATGATGTGAAAGTGTGTGTTTATGTGTGCGCGTGTTTTTTCTTTGATCCAGCTTTGAACCAAATTCTTGCGTTGCTTTCATGCG